AAGCTACACAAACAAAAACACTCAAACAAGATCTGGTGTATTTAAGAGAAATAGCAAGTGATAAAGACTTTAAATCAAGTGGGATAGACAACACCTTTAAACTATGGGCTGAAAAAGGTCTGACTGTATATTTTCAATTAATTACTGAAAAGGGAGTGGACACTTTTGAGAACCTTGTAAAAAGATTTAATCTCCCAAATTCTCAGTTTTTCAATTATCTCCAAGTACGAAGTTACCTGATGAATTTAATGGATAATCATAAAAAAATAAATGATATTCACCCCTTAGTTACATATATAGCCAACACATACAATAAAACTAACGCTACGAATATATTAGGTAGAATTTATAGAATTACTGAAGGAGAGATGGAGGGGGGTAAACCCAAAGCACTGATCAACTGGGAAAATGAACTAAATACAAGCATAACAAAAGAAGACTGGGAGAACATGAGTATCAACACATGGAAAACAACAAACTCTTTATTTTGGAGAGAATTCTCCTGGAAACTTCAGATAAGGTACTTTATAACTCCTACTATTCAATCAAAATACAACAGTAATTTCACACCAAGCTGTTGGCGTAACTGTGGAGAAAATAAAGCTAATCATACTCATATCTTTTACTCATGTCCAGTTTTGGAAGAATATTGGTCAGTAGTTAAAGAGGAAATGGGAAAAATATTCAAATGCGATCTTTCCTTAGGCCCCAAAAATTTACTCTTGAGAATCCCCCCAAAGGCACTTCCCCTAAAATCTGATAAATACCTGTACAGAATCTTGAGAATAACTGCAATTAAACAGATAACAAAAAACTGGTTAAAACCAAATCCACCTCAAATAAACAAATGGAACGAGTCAATAAAAGAAATATATAACATGGAAAGAATTACTCATAGGATAAGAAATCTCAGTGATATTTTTCAGTTGCGATGGAAAAAGAGAAATGAATTAATGCAACCATAACAGTGCTTGAAAAACATGGGTTGAAAGGGAAAAAATAAAAAAGTAAAACCCCAAGAAATATTAACTAGGAGAGCCATGTTGCCAGTACCTTTCTCTGTCTATTTTGTTTGTTTTTGCCACTTTTGTTTGTTTGTTTGTTTTTCTTTGTTTACAATTTCTGTTTTGTTTTTTTCTTTTGAGGAAATACCCAGGTTGTGAATGTGAAATGATGTATAATTTGTACAAAAACTTTACTGTTGATTAACTGCTGCTTGTGTATGCATCCTTACTAATATTTTTTTGTTTCTTCTCTCTTTCCCTGTGTACACTCTTAAAACTATGAAATAAAAAGTTTAAAAAAAAAAAAAGGAAAGGATTTTCCACCCAGGTGATCATGTGCTGGCACGTAACTATAACAGTGGGCCAAAATGGATGCCGGCCACAGTTATAGCCCAGACTGGCCCTGTGTCATATACAGTTAGCAACACAGAGAACGTTGTTTGAAGGAGACATGCTGACCAGCTGCTTTCTGGATCTTCAGTCCCTGTGGAAACATCACCAGTGAACAGTGCTGAGCCATTCAAGCAGGTCAGCCCAAGCCAACCTAATCTTACCCAGGATGGACCCCTTGCCATGAAACCTGCTTCTCCCAGAACTGCTTCTTCATGTGATTCACAAACTGAACTGTCACCACCAACCACACTGACACCTGCTCCTGTCACAACTAGTGTGGGATCACCTGATGGCAGAGCTGTCCGACGATACCCTCAGAGGGACCACCAACTTCCAAGATGCCTATGTTTGTAGTTAGCGTCATAACCAAAGAAAAAGGGCAGAATAATCCCTTGGGTTATGTCAGGGTCTGAGCAGTCTACCTCATTCCCTTAATTGTAGGCACCAACAAATGAGATAACATTTATTGACATTGTTCATTACTGTTGACGACTGTAAAGTTATACTACCAGTTTTACATGGTTGCCTAGTAAAGGTTAGAATTCTTGCTCATAGGATAATTACGGCAGCTAGTTAATTGATTTCAGTGGCCATAATTCAGCGACGCAAAATGCACTTGGTTAAGTATTGTTACAACTTGGCTATGACTATACGCCTTACTGTTAACCTTACTGCTTACAGCATTACCTGTGTTTACAGTGCTGCTTGTTCATTAAGTGAGGAGGAATATGTTATGTATTGTGGGTTACAGCACTATACTGCCGCCTGCTGTGAAGCGCCGTTATTACTTGTCACTAGAGGGTGCACAGATATATAGTGAAGCATGACAATAAATGGCTCCTGCCACAGCAGTGAAATCCGCCTCGGTCTGATTCATGTGCTACTCTGGTATAAGTTGAAGGAATACACGGAGAGACACAACAGTTCGCGTCCCGGTGGGGGCACCGGGATCTTCGTGCGTGGAGTTTGCATGTTCTCCCCGTGTAGCGTGGGTTCTCTCCAGGTTCTCCGGCTTCCTCCCACAAGTCCAAAAACATGTTGAGGTTAATTGGTGATTCTAAATTGTCCGTAGGTGTGAATGTGAGTGTGCTTGGTTGTCTGTCTCTAAATGTAGCCCTGCGATAGACTGGCAACCTGTCCAGGGTGTCTCCTGCCTTCGCCCTAAGTCAGCTGGGATAGGCTCCAGCCCCCCTTGCGACCCTTGTGAGGATTAAGCGGTGTATAGATAATGGATGGGATGGATGCTTCAGAATGTGTTCTAGTATGATAAATATGATGCAAAAGCGGCCTTTTCAGCACGCGAAACGCTGTTTTAAAGCATGAAATACGGCAAAGTTGTACTTTTTGCACCTTCATGTTTACTAACATATTTCTGCTTCAGAATGTCTTCTAGTATGATACATATGACGGCAAACAGTGTTTGAAGTCACATTGTGTGGGGGAATTCACAGGAAACACTGAATTGCAAAAGTGGCCTTTTCAGCGAATGAAATGCTGTTTTAAGGCATGAAATGAAGCAAAGTTGTACATTTTGCACCTTCATGTTTACAAACATATTTCTGCTTCAGGATGTCTTCTTTTATGATAAATATGACGGTAAACACTGTTTGAAGTGACTTTTTGTGAAGAAATTCACCGGAGACACTGAATGACAAAAGTGGCCTTTTCAGCGCTCCAAACATTTTGCACCTTCATGTTTACAAACATGTTTCTGCTTCAGGATGTCTTCTAGTATGATCAATATGAAGGCCAAAGCTGTTTGAAGTGGCTTTTTGTGAGGGAATTCACAGGAGACACTGAATTGCAAAAGTAGCCTTTTCAGTATGTGAAACGCTGTTTTAAATAATGAAAAACATGTCGTCCTGCTTTCTCTCAGCGACGTCTCACGTGGAGCGTGTCAACATGTCAGGAGGCGACATGAAAAAAGGAGAGAGATGAATGACTAGAAAGTGTCAAAGAGGAAAAACACAAAAAATGTATTTGTGATGAACATGTGATTATATATGATCATCATTATTAGACAGATAAAAATAGAGGAAACAAAAAAGTCATTCTTGAATGTGTGCACATCCCTGGATAACGTCACTCACTTACACTTTGGTAGATTTTCATAAGAGAGATCACAAAAGGTGCAAGGTGGCGCAGTGGGGTAACACTGTTGCCTCGTAGCAAGAAGGTTGCCGGTTCGTGTCCTGGTGGGGGCACCGGAATCTTTCTGCGTGGAGTTTGCATGTTCTCCCAGTGCAGCGTGGGTTCTCTCCGGGTTCTCCGGCTTCCTCCCACACAGTCCAAAAACATGTTGAGGTTAATTGGTGATTCTAAATTATCCGTAGGTGTGAATGTGAGTGTGCTTGGTTGTCTGTCTCTAAGTGTAGCCCTGTGATAGACTGGCGACCTGTCCAGGGTGTCCCCTGCCTTCGCCCTAAGTCAGCTGGGATAGACTCCAGCCCCCCGCGACCCTTGTGAGGATTAAGTGGTGTATAGATAATGGATGGATGGAGATCACAAAAGGTTCACTTCACATTCTATTTACACTTGGTCTTCTTCATCGGATGAGTCAATAGGAGGGTCAGTGCCCTCCTGGATCAGAACATAATGTGCTACTGTGGAATGAATAGCATTGTTTATCATAGGTTTGAGACATGGTATGACACATGTAGTGAACAGACAAAAGAGGATCATGGAACCATGGTCCAGATTTAAGCCAACTCCACAGATCCCAACCAGACTCCATTCGTTCTAGTATGTCTTTGAGGTGGTCATGCAGGAAGGTCAAGTTTTGAGTCGTATCTGTGATCTACGTGCAGCATGAGTCCCCAATTAGATAGATAGATAGATAGATAGATAGATAGATAGATAGATAGATAGATTGATAGATTGATAGATTGATAGACTGATAGATAGTTGTTGTACTAGCAACAACAACACAACACCAACACAACATTCAGAATAATAATAATAATGGTACCTACATCTGTCTTACTTGCAGCCCATAAGCTGTCAGGAAGTGAGGATAAGTCTGCTTCCTATTCAGCTGTGAGGAAGTATAAGTCTCAGGATCTGGCTGGCTCCACTCCTCTCATATGGCTGTTTGGTGTGAGGACTGGGAAACTATGTGTAGTTTTGGGTTTTCTTTTCTGTCTTGGTGTTGTGGTGGACGTGTGTTTCTCTTTTCCTGCAGCTTGCGGTGGCAGCTGTGGCTAATCATCTCATCAGCTGGTCTCCCTTCAAAAAGGAGCGTCTCACACTACTTCAGCGCCAGATGATTGTGAGCATTTAAGCTAAGCTCTCTAGTTTCTCGAGTTTTCGCCAGTGTAATGTGTTTGTTGTTTCTGTGTGCCTCCAGCGTCTCCTCAAGGCTCCAGCTTCTGCGTTTTCCGGCACGCCTGCCTTCTTCTCTCCCTCGAGCTTCATCCACAGGAACCCACAGCCACGAGCACCTTCACGAGTTGGTACACAGAGCACACACCACCACGGGTAACGACCTCTCACGAGCACCATCCCCTGAGCACTGGATTTCCTACCGCCACCTCAGGACCCGCCACCACGACCCTCTCCACGGAACCTCCCTCACGACATCCTTCCCCGCACCTCGACACCAACGACCGCCTTCTCGGATTCCCTCACCACGACTGGGACCCCTCTACTGGACCCCTCACCTGGTTTCCCTCCACAACCCCCCACTGTGTGAATAAAACACATTCCTTTAACCTGTTCCTCCTTGCCTCTCTCTTTCGTTTGGGTCCGCCCTCATAGCTCCTGAGCTTGGGTCGTCACATTTGGTTTGCCATTAGTGAGCCAGTTTAGCTGTTTTGACCACAGGTGTTGTCTGTGGCTATATTGCATGCCTGACCCTTTGTTTTGCCAGTCTGTGGCCTCCTCTCCTCTACTCACTATTTTGCCTATGTCTTTCCACTCAGCATAGTTTGGCCTGGTCAAGGAAACATCTGGTGCATAGCTACTTCTGCACAGATGGTCAAAAGGTGATAAGAAAAAGGAGATGCTGTAGTATC